GTTTTAGGGGGGGGATAGAAGGTGGGGGCTGGAGGAGCGAAGGGCGACAGCGCTGCAGTCTGTCACACACAACTCAGCACAGCTGGGGAGATGGAAAGAAGTGAAACGAACAGGGAGGGATAGAGACGGATGGAAGTAAAAGCTAAAATGTTCAAATAGCTGAAAATGAAAGCTTTGGCTGGCAATGTGAAGAAGTTATTTTTCAAATTACAGAGCAATTATAACAGTGTCAGATCAAACAGCTGTGTTTTAATGAAACTGACTCATAAAAGATGCATTCCAAATTTAAGCTCTCCAAAGAGTGTCGTGTAGCCAGAAAAGGGGGGCTGTCAGAAGAATCCCAGGAGGTCTGACCCTCCAAATGGCAAACTCATCTGACAAATGAAACGCTCTGTAATCAAAGACCAATCACATAATTGCTCTATTTTGCCACTAGCTCAACCATCTCCTGCCAGATTAGTTGTTCAGAGGAGAAACTTGATACTCTGGGAAGTTAAACAGATGTTCAGAAAAAACAACAACAAAAAAAAAACTAATCCCCCCAGAACAAGAACACATCATCAATATAATATGTTCTAATTTAGGAGCGCTAACGCCCCTACGTCCCCTGCGCGCAAGAACTTCACGAAAAACGAAAGTGTTAATGCGGAGTCACGTTCACACAGTCCACTTCTCAGCAAGAAAACCAGGAAGAATCGCCAGTCTGGCATCAAAAGAATATCTCAAACCTGACGTCAGAGCCGGGGAGAGAGCGAGCTCGAGCACTCTCGTCTTTATCAGCTCATATTGCATATACAGACAGGACCTCACACGGGAATTTGTTACACACAGTGTTTGCATGCACAAAAATGTCCGTGGCTCCTCACAGTCCCGCACTGTTTAAAGATTCCAAGTCGGGAAGCAATAACTGAAGGAGAAAGCCATTTCTCCTCATCCATTTATAGTGTGCGGCTCACTTTAAACTTGGCTATGGCTCAGTCATGACATCAACTGGTTCAGGCGTGAGAAAACGCTGCTTTATAAGCTGAGGCGACCGGCTCTGAATTTTTTCCTCTTCTTATTGTGTTTAGTTTAGCCTCACAGAGGCACAAAGGCAAGGGGTCCCCTGCCAAACTGTCTCTGTATCTGCTGATACTTTGATCAACACTGACAACGTGAGAAATGACACATTTCCGCCGCATAGTTGCATTTCACGGGGCCATCGTCACGGAGCACTTAAGAGTCGAGGAATGAAACATCAGAGGGATTAAAGTTGGAAGGAAGTCGATTTTTTGAGGGGTCCCACGTTCCCTCTCGCTCTTGGAGAATGTATATTTTACGACACAGTCTTACATACTATGGTCTGGGACCGATTCACTGTTTGAAAGTGGGTCAGTAAGACCTGGAAGAACCGCTGATCATGTTCGCTGCTCCAGCCAAAAGGAGAATAATGTTCATTCAAATGGAAAATGTGCACAGGAGAAAAAGAGCCTTATAGGATTTGCAGAGGACTGTATGCAAGCGACCCCTGTCCAGCATGCAGAGCTGAATGCATATCCAGGACTTACATGTGCACATTCATCTGAGCACGATCGTCTGTGAATACTGCAGGTTTTAATCAACATGGCACTCCGCTGTTTGCCTTCCTGGACCATTACGCAACATTACTATCTCACCGTTGGCCTGTCCTCATACACTTTGCATATAAACAGGGCAGATGAAAGTAATTATCTGTGAGCCATGGCCCCACTCTTTCATATCACATGGTTAATTAGTTGCTTTTAGCCCTGCATCATCTGGAACTGTCGATCTTTCAACTGGCGGGGAGGCGGAGACCTTGTAAAACTGCTTTTAACTGAACAACATCACTTTCTCCAGTGCCCTCGGTGGTTGTTTACAATATGCAAGCGGAGAGCAGGACCATGAAATGCGGTGTATACTCAATAAACATTTAGCAGGATTAGAAAGTATGTTTAGGGCTGTGCCTCTCTGTTGAAGAGCGACTTGATCCTTCCCTGTTGGCAGGTATCCTTTCAAACATATTAGCATTGTAGCTCTGGGTATGGTTATGCTGCCAAGTCACTTGGTACACAACTTGGTTTCAGATTTGAAATTTGGCAAATTGTTATTCTTGGCTTCCCAAAGGAAGGATCCCACTGAGTCTGGCAACTGTTTTTAATTAGCAGGTAAAAGTATGTATGCATTCATGTGTTTCGTTAGGTATGTCGAAGGACTTTGACGATCCCCTTCTTTTTCTTCTAGCTCAACCAGGGGGTTAACATTTGTGGCTGGGAGTAAAGTCTGGCCCCTAATGGACGGACAATTCTATGCAGTCTGTGAAAACTTGAATACATTGCAAGTAGCAGCCAGGCATTGCTAATCATTGATCATTAACTGATAATCAGCAAGTGTGAGCAGTTTGGTTTTTGCAGTTTCCTGGTCTGAAGCGTTCAGATATGTGGACAGTCCAGCAAATTCACCCCTGAACAAGTCTGGCCTGTTTGGAAGGGTTGCCAGGAGAAAGCCTCCTCTCTCCAAAAAGAGCATGACAGCATGGTTTATATTTGCAAAGCTCCATCTGAACAAAACACAGGACTTCTGGAACAATGTTGTTTGGACACACGAGACCAAAGTGCAGATGTTTGACCGTAGTGCACAGCGCCATGTTTGGAGAAAAGCGAACAGAGCACATCTCTTACCAACTGTCAAGAACAGTGGTGGAGGGGTCAGAGTTTGTGCTGGGTTTGCAGCCACAGTATTCTAGAAATTAAGCCCATTATTAACATCACTCTACCAGTTTATTGGTTGAGCTCCCATACTAACATGCCACCCCCCCCACAGTGGCAATAATAAACATTAGATCTATTACCATGTTAACAACAACGTCAGGTAAATGGACATTGTGCAGATTAGCAGTTTTATTGTGTCTCAGAGCTCCAACTAAAGCAAAAGTAATTTTATTTTTATGAAAACGAATTAGTTTCATATGTTTTGATAAGAGATGTTACAAGAAAATTACAAATTACTATCAAGATAAACTCGGTGAGTCATCTTCCCCTAAAATTCCAATACTTTAAACTTCTCAGTGGGCTGATTTACAGCAGGACTGTTGCAGCAGATTGCACAACATTACAAGGTGTTCCTGTCATTTTGCACGCCCAAGTATAATGGTGATAGGATTACACTAATATTTTTAAAACCAATTTCTGCAACAAAAGGGGGGAGGGAAAGCATGGCTGTGAGCCATGAACAGTTTTACTGCACATGAAATATGCAATCAAGTGCAGTCATTCTTTTGTCAGATGTTAATCCAGGCCATTGAAGTTAAGATCTGAAGGGAAGGGGAGCCGAAGCAGAAACACGCTTGACTCTGCTGCACGGTCATCAGATATGAGACTAAAAGCTCCCTTGCGAATGGTCAATCTGCATAAATATTAACCGATTGTGTAAACAGAAGAAAAACCCCATAAATGTCCACATGTTTGCCACATCATCAGTGCAACATGCGAGCCAATTAGAAATGGAAATTAGGTTACTGAGAACATATGACTTGACTGAGTTCATGCTTCCAAGGGATTGTCTCAATATCTATAACACAATGAGCTCAGTCATTTCACTAAACTGCATTTTCTTGCAAAATCTCATCAAAAGCCTATCAGGACCTCGATCCACATGGTAAACAGTCTGCACTGCAGCAGCTCTGCTTGTAATCATATGGCTACAATTGTTTATCTGTGCCGATGCAGGAAGTTTTGAAAGACTTATTACATTAAAGGGTATGTCCTGTGTTTTTAAGCTTACAGGATAATTCAGGTTTATTACAGCTTGGCTTTTATTTTGGTCATTTTGGCTCTCACTCCTACTTATAATAATAGTGTACAAAATTCCTCCAAAGAAGGCTGAAAGGGCAAAAAATGCACAGTCAGGTGATCACACTGATTTTACACTGAAATTATTACACAAAACATCCATCCTGGTCTCTGCACTTAGGGATTATTATTGACATTTTATGCTTTCTTTGCGTTTTAGCACCAAATAAAATGGTTAAACAGTTTTTCTTTCCCCAGTGAATGTCAGGAACTTTCTCTGGTGAGTCCAACGTCTTCACAGCTCACAGAAAAGATGGCCAAAGCTATAAAAAAAATAAGACCCACATTTGAATGAGCGTTTAAACTGCCCAACGTATGTAGAGCCAGGATGAATCAGGTATGGTGGTGTTTGAAGGCAGCAGGAGGCGTCTGACACATATGAATGAAGTAATACTGTGGAAGTAAATGATAGAATTAGTTTCAACCCACAGCCCTCTCAATTTTGTTTTTTCTTGAGGCTCTCTGGTTGTCAGCGGGCAGTGCAGAAGGGTCCGGAGCTACTTCTTAGATCTCCCAGGTTCCCTTTTAAACAGGGGAATCCACCTTGACAGGGCTACAACATCCTAAAGCTCAAACAGACTCGTGTTAACATGCACACATATGTGTGTATGCATGCGGGAGGGGGCGAGGGGTAGTCAGCTAGAAGTGTTGACAGCTACAAATGCAACCACCAAGAATCAGGAAGTGCCGGCAGATCTGTGGGCTGATACGTGAGTTCGATCCTGCATCTCTGAACAAAGCCAGCCTGCCCCGACCGTGGTTTACATGCCAGCGGAAGTGGTGGGAAAAAAACAAGGGCTTCGGCCTTGATGACAGCTGGGCCTTTTGTGGATGGAGGACACGCATCCTTTCATATTCTGGCTGCCATGCGGGAGAATTTGTGTCCAGGAAGAGCTTTTTTTTTAAAACAGTTTCCAGTCACAAGTGTTTTGCTGTGTTTTAAAAGGGCAAAATAGTAAACAAAACATCCTTATTTAAAATCTTTACTTGGCTTGTGCTGACCCCCACAGGAGCTGCAGAGCAGGGCCTCCAGCAGCTTGGGAATCAGTGTCCAACTGTGAGCCAAGAAGCAGAGCTAATGGGAGAGTGGACTATCCCACCTCTGCAGAGCCGGAGCTATAACCATGAAGGAAATAAAAGAGCACAGCTCACCTGGTTGATGTGTTTGAGTTTGTCTATGATCTGGCTGATGACCGGCTCAGGCGGCTTGTTGCTCCTGGACTCGGAGCTGGGGTGCAGTCGTTTTAGGCCGGGCCCAGGATATCTGAAAGGACGGGAAGAAAATGCTTAAATAAGCCTTATGTTTATGAAACTCTGAAGAGCTTCAGTGACTTCAGGCTAAGGTACCTTTGTGGAAGACACAAACAGGGATTTTATCACCATCTAGTGTTGATAAGAGGAATCTCAGGTCTTCTGGATTTTAGTTTCCTGAGCTAAAAAACTCATTTGTCAATGAGCTCTGACCAAAGAACCAACTTTTCCCTCAATGGAGAAGCTACAGCTACAAAACCAGAGGTGGGTTGATATTTATCCAAGATCTGCTGTTTAAAGACAGCTTAATGCTGTTAATGTAGTTATAAAGGCTGCAATTCATCACTCATCACACGCTAACTCTGAACATCTGCCTTTAAGAGGCAGGCTGTTACATTACCACCTTCTTTGACATTTTTAAGTGTTTCAAGGGTGCCGACAACATCCCCAAAGATCTTGAACTATCATGTAAAGTTTGGCTGCTGATTAATTTCATGCACATTATCTGCTCAGTTAGTAGCTTTTTAATCATCTGAAGTTAATGAGAGAACATTAGCAGAGATGTATTTTTGCCCTGCTTTAGCTGTGAGGGTATATTTAGGTAGAAGCAGCACACGGGCAGGCTCTTACATGCATAAATGTACGACTGAGGAAGTGCTGCTCTGTTTACACTTGTGTACACTATGAAGAGGAGGAGCTGGGATGTCTGAAAGGTAGATTTCTTCACAGCTGTTCTTTCATGTTGAGACTTTCCTGCAGGTGTGTTTTTTTTTTTCACTTCTGACAGTCCCAAGGGTTTAACCCCTTCCTCACCGCACGCTCGGAAGGATGAGACCGGCTAATTCTGCTTGACTGAGACGAGCACGTTTAGGTGAACCTGAATCAGACATCTCTCTCAGGTGCCGCAGTGGATGTCACGCTGCAGCGTAAATGTCGTCTGCCGTGTTGTTGTAAATGTTTGAAAAGATGAAGGACGAACTATTTTAGAGGAAGTAGATTAGCGAGAGCGAAAAAGGGGCCTTGAAAAAAGAATCTGTGCACATGTGTGTGTTTGTGTGTAAAGTATGAGGTCATCCTTTGTTCTCTCTCTTTTAAACAGCCCTGTGGGCACACTCCCCCAACACACACTCACACACACACTCACACACACCTATGAGCTGCCGTCTCTTTTCATCAGTCTTTCATTCTCCTCCAAGTCAGACTTTTCATTAAGCTCAAATTACATTTCCCCAGTTATTTATTCTTCTTATTATCCATGATCTCATCCCTTCTTCGCTGCTAATTATCACATGAATAATGGAAAAACGTGTGATCACTTAAGCAGAGGAAAAGAGGAAATATGGTTAAGAGGAGGGAGGATTAGGACGGGGAGATTTTGAGTGACGATAAGAAGCCGAGGCAGGTTAGTGTTTCACATGATAAGTGCCTGTCAGATAATTTTACCACAATATAATTTAGCGTGTCTCACCGTTAAACCGTTTTTCACCGCCGATAGTCTCAGTTGTCGACTCTCGGCTCGTTATCCAATCCTGCTTGTGTTATTGTTCGCTGCCAGCAGAGCTGATCACATCGCCTCATGCTTGCGATAACTTAATCTAATGTAACACCAATTACCACGCTGCCATTAGGTCCAGTGTGAGGCTGCCATCTCTCGCAGCAAAATAACCCGCAGAAGTAGAAGAACACGTCCTACTACAAGCCACATTCACACACACACGTTTATACAAACACCTTTTTCTGTGCCTAAGAATCTTGTCTAACACACACAAACACAGACACACACGTGATTATTGACACTGTTCCTTTGTTTTAATGTCGCACTGAGAAAACACAAAATTCAGAGTTCATACAAACAGCTGTGATGGAGCAGCGGGTGGGTGAACTTAAGTCTCATTAAAGTGGGCGCATTATGCTCTATACTTTTATTTTTGGAGCGCTGCATGATTCTAACTTCAACATAATCCTCATTATTCTTTAATCCTCAATCCTTCCCTTTCCTTTAAACTAAATTAAGCCAGATTTCTTCCAACTGGCTGACCCCTTGTAAATGTCAAGTTTGAACAGCAGGTGGGCGGAGTTGCTTACTTTACATCATCAGTAGCTCCGCTCTTCTGTACTAATGTATCATTAAAATGGTGGTAAAAACTGACACAATTATGCACTCGTTTTATTCATCCTAGCTGCCGTAGCAACAGTACAACGCAGCAGGTTTCAAAAAGCGGTGCACGACCGGCAGAAAGTGCTGCAAGCGACAGTCTGACGTTAACTTTGTCATACGGTGCCGTTCACATGGCAGGTACAAACGTTCTTAAAGCCTTAGCTTTTATTGTACATATGCTGAAATCATTGAACCACTGACCATTTGTAATATGAGCATCCACCTCAGTAACAGCATATTCACATGGGAGACTCTAAGGGAGAGGATAATGGTTCTCTTTTAATGGCTCCTTGAAACGACTTATCTCGATTCTTGGCCAGTCTGCACTGGTCCAGGTTGAACTTTCTCAGAAATTGTTGATGGATTGCTGTAAAATTTGGTTTTGCTACCCTACATGCAAAGACGAAACATGACACTGACTATGAAGCTCGCGTTGCCTTAACTTTAGACCATGAGGTTAATGTTTGAGGGTGGGGTGAAATTGTTCTAGCTGACGGAGGTACTAAATCATTTGCTTTAAATCAACTGTGACTGAAAAAACATATATACAGATATGCATTATTGTGTATGATGTCTTTGGGGCCACAGTAATTCTTACATGTACCACATCACATCAGCTGTCATGAATTCAGTCGAGTCTGTCAGAGTGTGACAAACCATTTCTGCTTTTTATTGACCCAGTTTGGCACTAATGGCATTTCTTCCTTGTAAAGAAAAGTTGGGGACTCTGATTACACAATTAGATTAAATCTGCTGAGGGAATTCATGTTTTCCTCAGAAAGAATGGAAATACCTTTGGTGATGCTTCAACTTTCTTCACCTCTTTAAGTAGAACCAGTTTTTAAAAATAAATTTGATACAAGCTTAAAACTCTGAACTTTCCCATTAGGCTCTGTTATTCTTTAAGTGTCTATATATCTAAATAGCATTGCCGCTGGCAGAGTGTTAGCATAAAGAGTCGTATCTGACTCAACTCAAGGCCTCACAAGACATTTAGCATAGCATGTGCTGTAGGCTCTCAGACAACTATAATTTAACACAATGCTAAAGGATGACAGTGGGCACGGAGCATGTGGCAGCCACTGAGGCTGAAAACAGAGTTGAAGCCCCAAAAACTGCAGTTCCTTTAGTGGCCACTTGAATCCGGCTCCCATCCATGTGGATTTAGGCTTACAGTTGGGCTGTGACCTAGAACTCGACTCCACCTATCTGTGTTATACTGCTGGTGCCTGTTGCAGCAAGTGTCTGTGCTTCACGGGTGCAGCTTGCTAGCTAAGCTGGCTAGGGACAGCTAACTCGCTAACTTAGCACTCTATCTTTATGTCCTTTCTCCTGTTTTCATCTCACTCTACCTCCTTCACTACATCCATGAATCTTCTCTGAGGTCTTCTTCTTTTCCTCCTGTCTGGAAGCTCCATCTTCAACACCTTTTCTCCAGTATATCCCTCCTCTGCACATGTTCAAACCTTCCCAGCTTGATAGTCTCATTTCTACTGCTGTCCATCTCCCATCTCCAAACCATACATTGCATCAGGTCTCACTACCACCTTGTAAACCTTAACTTTCAGTCTTGCTGCTATCTTTCTGGACCACATTTGCTTATTTCTGGCTGCAAAAATCAACATGGCAGCAGCTGAAACTCTTTAAATATGATATCTGCTGACCTCCTCTCAGTCTCCATCGTCACAATCCCCAAAATGAAACATTCACGGTCGACACCGAATCTTATCTTTGAATCAATTATCACACACACATGAATTTACACTGTCAGTAGATCCAAAAGAGGAATGTTTTGAGTTGATACGGCGTTACGTTTTTATCACAGTTAGCACGGTAACACTCTTTGATGTGGTGAAAAGTGTTCCTCCTCTGATCTGGCTTCCAGGTGTGATGGTAAACAGAGCCCGATAACAGGCGCCTCATTTAGCTCCACAGATCACTCCTCAAGTATCAGAGACATTCAGCACCCGACCCCTCCAGTGCTTATCCTCCCCAACCACCCGTTCTAAATTTATCTGCATGAGACAATGCACTGAATGAATGCCACATTTGGCTCTGAAGAAGGTCCTATCTCAGGAGATAATGGAAGATGATCCAGAACAAATCTCGAAGTGAAAATGCACCAGAGTGAATCTGCAGACATATGCCCTCGCAGGTGACATGGAGAATTGCTTGCCGCGAGACACTGTAATCTCTCCATCATTTTGTCTCCTGTTCCTGCCTCCCCTGCACCTTCCTGTCGCACTGCTTGGTCCAGCTTGTAATCATCCCCTCAGGACAGCTCTGCCCCCTTGCCAGCCTGATATCTCCTCCTCAGACTCGGGTTCTTTTTTTTTATATCTTTGTGCAAGAAGTACTGAACTTATTCTCCTTCATCCTTGGGAACTTAAAACATCCCCCAGTGCTTTTATACTAGAATTTGTGCATCTACACTGATTTAATTCCACACATGATTTAAAAGCCTAAAAATCCTATGATATCTGTAACTATGTGAGCCAAATTGAAATCGGGGCCAGCTGACGGTGCAGGCGGAAAGAGCGCTGAGAGTTGTGATGTGTGAAGCCAAAGGACAGGGGTGAAATGAAATATTGTGGAAACCGAATGCTGTTCTGCGGGGTGCACAGGAGACGCTGGATGAAGGAGGAGAGAGCGATCAAAACGGCAATTAACTAAGCGAGAAGAAGGTGACAGTGTTCCTGACATTAATAACATCCCATAGAGCCAAAGTCAAGATTTACACTCGCACTCAGTGGGTGAGACGGTGGGAGTGGGGGGGCCTTGTGGGAAGCTCATCAGCTCTGGGAAAACTTGCCCTTCAGTTCACCTACACTCCTAGATGTGAAGCTAGAGGGCTGGGAATTCAAGAATGGGAGCAAAGTGTTTGCATAAGCGATCATTTAGAGAGAGCCAATAAACTGTGAAGTGCTGATTCGCAGTCTGCAAACAAAAACCAGACCCCCGCCTTACCTGTCTGTCATCTCCTGCCCGTTCCAGCAGAGGGAGTGATTCACTGGAGCAGGCTCGCGGCTGCATAAGGCCTCCCCGAGACCACTATAAAAGGAGCTGAAGCCTCTCAGGCTGGTTATGAAGTCCCTGAAACACAAAGGCAAAGAATACAAACGTCAGTTAACACCATTGTTAGTGAGCGGAGAAGAAAACAGCAGCGAAAGGAGGCAGGGAAAGTGCAAGAGAGGGAATTCAGCTTGATAGCAGCGAAAGCAACTCGATTAGATCCCCCTGGAGAAGGAGAGAATAAAAGAGGCCAAAATGAGCAGTGTCTCTATTCCTAATTGACATTAATCTGGCCATTGTGCTGCTGAGGCCAGCAGCCCCCGCTGGGCGTCATTACACTGTTCATTTAAGCCTGTTACTGCATCAGAAGTGCTAAAAAAAAATACTCAAGCGGAGAGAGACCGAGCCAAAGCATCGCGCGCAAGCAGGAGCGGACCTGTCGACAGCGTCAGGGGCAATATTTGTCTGTCAGGGAAAAATATTGCCCCCATGGCACCCTGGAGAGACAGAGAATCGCTTCATCATAGGAAGAGGTCTTGTCCTGGCGCCCGATTTCCTCACCTGCGGAGGTCTGCCAACGTCTCGTCGGGGTCCGAGGATGACGGCTGAGCCCCACGGGCTGCGGCGGCCGGAGGCTGGGACGGAGGGGATCCGACAGAGCGAGAGGCCCGCTGAGGAGTTTGTCCGCACATCCCGCTCACCTGCCCAAGAGAGAGAGGAGATTAGAAAGGAAGATCTCACTTCTCCCCAGAACCTCTTCATCACCACTTATGTGGCACTGTATCCACTTCCTGCTCCTAAAAGCCTCTTCATTCAAGCAGCGGTGACACTGCAGACGGTACGAGCCTGTCAGTACCAAACTGCCGGCCTTACTCAGCTGAGCGCCTCTGCAAATTGTCATCTGTTTGGAATTGTTTATTTTTGGGAGGGATGAAAGCACCGGGATTTGCATAACAAACAAGTCATTGTATCCTCTGCCAGCCATGTTCGAATTTGTAATCATAACACTCCAAAAAAAAAAAAAAAACCCTCCAGCCTCTCATTTTGCTGCTTCTTTCCTGTATAAATGCCATTGTGTTTCACACGAGAGACAACATAACAATAATAAATAAGGAGTCCTTCTCTGTCTCTCAGAGATAACGGACCTGGCACATTCTTTTCAGGTGCAATAAAAATGCAAATGGCCTGTTAATGTTTAGCTTGTGGTTTAATGATTTGCCGGTGGTTTAATTTCCCTGGGGAATACTGGCCGGGCTTAATTCTGCCATGTAATGTTAACAGCTAATTGTGCCCAGCTCCCCTTTAAGTGAAAAGGCTGGCATCACTGCCGCTGAATACTGATGGGATCCGATAGAGCAGCGACGGACATCTTCATCTGGAGCTAACCGAGGCCACATAACACACACACACACACACACACACACACACACACACACACACACACACACACACACACACAGAGAAATGCATGCATGCACACAGATCTTTTCAGCATAAACAAAAATGAATCATTTCATGCAATGATTCATTTTTGCATAATGCACCTAATCCCATTAACATGATAAACACACACGCCTACATAATATACTCTTTGCAAGCACTTGCATATCTTACAACAGCGCATGCGCTCATTTATCGCACGCGTGCTGACACACTGAAATGCTGATCAGCTGCAACACGGAACCATCAGGGTTAATCAATACAGCCTTGTCATCCAAGGATGGTGTTAGAGACTCACACACACACACACACACACACACACACACACACACACACACACACACACACACACACACACACACACACTCTTGACAGTCACAGATGGCTGAGTTCTCCTGCACTAGGCATTTACCAACACACAGCTTCCCTGACTAGCCATCTTCCCTACCGTGTGCTTAAGGGGATATAACACACACACACACACACACACACACACACACACACACACACACACACACACACACACACACACACACACACACACACACACACACACACCTATTTGAGCTCATTGCTTCTCCCACCCCACTCTCTCCTTCCACATCTTCCTCTCGTGCGATACTTTTGTTCTCGTGCGCCTGGAGCAATTGCCGGTGCTTCCACGGGCCATGATTAATGTGATCGGAGCTGCGTTTCTCCTTTTTGTTTGAGCATTCTCGGGAAGCCGTAGGGAAGTTGTGGCACAAGGGAGAGGACTGATTCAGCACGCACGCCAACACAGCCCCACCCCATCCCCGCCGATTGTTTTCCGGATTCTTCAAGGAAGGGGCTCATTAGTGGGGTATTAATATTACCCAGGGCTCGACTAACACAACCAACAGGAGAGTCTGCAGATAAAGTCTGCCTCAGCGGGACAGCTCAGAAATATCTGCACACTTTTATCTGCACCGGGCAGCCTGTGCCTTTCTCTCAGAGGAAGAGAGGGGTGCTGGCGGCCAGTAGTACGAGTCACACAAACCTCGCAGCCCACACTTGGTTGCACTGGCACACCTGCATTTTGGGCTCAGCATGTGCAAACATGGTGTAGAGATGCACCGCAAACAAATCAATGGAATTGCACACAGCGCTGGGACTAATGTGAGATCGGGCTTTTGCTTTCATTATGATCGCGAGGAGTTTTTAATAAGCAAACGGTTTCAGGAGCAAAGACGATACTATCAGTGTTATAGGATGGCACGATGCCACGCACAGCTGTAACAACATACTGGAGAAAATTTAGTGAGTAATGCTCGTGCTCCAGAGAAGTCAAGGCTCAGGGGACAGACTGAGTCAGCACTCAGCCCCCATCCTCCTCCTGTCACCAGCATAGAAACTAACTTTTGCTGAAATACACACTGTACACAGAAAAAAAAAAATCTGGATTGTCTATAAATTCATGCTTTTATGTCATCTTTGCATTATTGTAATGCCCTTTTTAAAGAGGTATCAATCATAAATCAATGAATAGACTTCAAACTGTTCAGGATGCGGCGTCAAGGTCAGTTTTAACGAGTCTACGATGGCTGCTCGTTTGTTTCAGAATTGATTTTAAGATTTTACTGACTCCTTTTAAAGCCCTTCACGGCCTGGCTCCAGAGTGCACACTAGAGCTGCTGTTCTTGTGCCGACCTGTGTGCAGCCTGAGATCCCGCTAACTGTTCCAGCCTCACGTTTAAAGATAAATGGCGATCGAGCGTTTTCTGTTTGGGCTCCTCGATTGTTGAACGACCTGCCAGACTCACTCTGGCCTACTTGGTCAGTGGCTTCTTTTAAATCACTATTAGAAACCCATTTATAATGCAGGGCCTTCTCATAAATTTGATGATAGATTTTATGTCCTTGACATGCTCAGCTTACCTTTGTTTTTGTTTGTTCAACTTTTTATTCATTATTAGGGAGTCACATTGATTTTTATATGTTACACTTGCATGGGCTTTTTTAATTGATATGCAAATTTTCATTTTTAATAATTCATTTCTATTTTTGTATAAACTTTATGAAGAAATTGGCTAAATAGTGTAGCTGTCACGTTCCTGCGTCTGTTGACCCAGCGTTTCAAGTTTTAGTTTTTTTGGATGTTGATGTTTATGTTTAAGTTCCTTAAGTTAGCTTCATTTGTTTATTAGATTTCCCCTTGTGTTTTCTACCCCTGTATTTAAGCTTCCCTCACCCTTTATGTGTTTCATGCTGTGTGTCCTATGTTATCACATTCATGTTGTCATGTCTGCATTCCACTCTGTTTCCTGTTTTATTGTGAAAGTCCTTGTCCTATGTGCAGTGTGTCTAGTTTTGCTTCCCCTTGTCCATGTTCCATGTATCTTTGTATCCACACCAAGTTTCATGGTTTGGTATTTTTATGTTTATCTTCAGTTTCCCCAGTTTAGGTTATTGTTTAGCTTCACCTCTGACTTTTGTTTTGTAATCTTTTCCCAGCCTTAATAAATGGCTCGCTTTCTGTTAAATTTTCTTCCACGTTCCTTAGTGTCTGCATTTTGGGTCCTCTTCGTCACTCCATACTGTCACAATAGTGGTTTACACTTTTATCCAACCTAAGTAAAAGATTCCTGGTTTGATGCCAGGAGGAAACACAAATTCCTTTGGAATTATGTCAGGAAGGGCATCTGGAAAGGAGCTGAAATTAGCAGTTTTTTGTTTTTAATTTAAGGAAGTAAACTTCTTTAGATTAAGAATGTCAGAGACAAATAACATTAACTTTCTTTTAACCCTAGGAACCTCTCACTGCGAGCCAACAGTGCTAAACTTGCTTTGTTGTCAATTTAATTTATGTCTTTACATGAAAATATCTGGTTTCAAATGAATCTCCTTTTGTTCAACACAGAGGAAATCATGCGTGCTCAGTGAACACATCATCAAATCAAATCAATTTATTTATATAGCACTTTTCACAGGATAAATACCACAAAGTGCTTCACAGTAATATAAAACAGAAATGCATAAAATAAATTAATAATCAAACACACAGCACAAGTCTGTGCTGTGTGTTTATTTGTGCTGTGCTGTGTCATTTATTTAGCCAATCTAAATAAATGAGTCTTAAGCTGATTTTTAAAAGAATAAATACAATCAAGGCAACGTAATGATGGAGGGAGAGCATCCCACAACCTGGGGGCCACCGCTCTAAAAGATCTATCACCTCTGGTCTTAAAACGAGTTTGTGGGACTCCCAACAGCCTTTGATTAGATGATCTCAGGCTGCGAGATCATCATCGCTATCATCTGAGTTATCATAACAAATGTTTCCAGATTAACAAGAAAACTATTTCCTCTCTATTTTAATCTTATTTAATCAATTTTTATTATTATTTTTACCGTCATCGAGTCTTTCGGGCTGAAAGATATTGTCGGACTTGGGTTTGATTCAAAAGTTTTGCTTGCGTCAGTCTTTGCTGGCTGACTCACAACCACAGCCAAAGATCTGAAGTCGCTGTGATTTAAAGTGGCTGTGATTAACCGTAGCTGTGGTTACTATTAGAGCGCATTTAAAATCCTTTTCTCTTAGCAAACTATTTCAACTTGTGGAGTTCAGGTGTTACAACATTAATTGTGGCTCCTGAACCATGAGTGCAGCTCACTACACATGCACGTTAGTGTTTCTTTCACTGGCCCCGACCTTGGTTTATACACAGACAACAGACTTCAAATAAGATAACTCATTTTTCATTTGCACATTATAAACCAATTGACGTATCTTTTATAACTGTGAGGTCTCTCTTAATAAATTCATGGCTACAAGGTTGTAGGATTAGGTGTCTTTAAGGCTACGTTCACACTGCAGGTGAAAGCGCATCAAATCCGACTTTTTTGACCCTATGCGACCCATATCCGATCATGCTATGACAGTGTGAACGGCGCAAATCCGATATTTTCAAATCCGATCTGGGTCACTTTCGTATGTGGTACTGAATCCGATACATATCCGATGTTTTAGAAAGCGACTGCTGTGTGAACGGTCAGGTCGCATTAAATCCGCCTTTTACGTCACCGACACAAGACTGAAGCCAATTATCAGCGCCAGAGAAGACATCGTGAACGCTTCCTGGCCATCCAGTGTAGATGTCAGTGAAACTGTTGGGAAGACAACGTTGGAGAAACGTGAACATTTTATTTGTACTGTATAATCTGCAGATTCTGACAGAAATCTGCAACCATCCTTTGAAGCACCGCTCCTCTCTTAAACAGCAATAAGGATCATTATTAGGTT